CCCAAGCATGTGGAGGCGCCACCTCTGCACTATCTGCCTTCACGGCGTCCAACCGACGCCCACCCATTGCCCAATGCTACGGGAACGATGCCCCGCCGCTGCCGTCAATCGTGCGGACAAGTCTAGTGGTGCCGACCAACAACGGCGAGGGGAGGGTACACGACAAAAGGTCCTCGAAAAAGTTGATCGAGCATGCGACTAGGACGACGCAGGAGTCTCTTTTCGTCATGTGAGATTCCCACACATTTAGGCAAACTTATATTTAGGCCAAAATAGAAATAGGGTAACTAAAACCACATTTTAAAGCGTAGAACCACAAGTGCACTACTAGGGAAAACCTTATACACAAAATCTTAGCAGCAGCGCGGCATAAAAACAGGCGCTGCTGCTAAGTAGTAGCAGCGCGGCTACGGAAAGCTCGCTACTGGTGCAAACTTAGCAGTAGCACGTGACGCTTAAACCGCGCTGCTACAAAAATCCACCGACAGTACACAACGACATAAGTTTACCAGTAGCGCGGCGCCAGGGAGCGCGCTGCTGCTAATGCCATAGTAGCAGCGCGCTTTTTTGTCACCTCGCTGCTGCTAATTTTGAAATTGTGCACAGGGTTGGCCCATTTAGCAGTAGCGCGTGCAGGAAAGCGCGTTGTTGCTACGCTCTTAGCAGCAGCGCGCTTTCTCTCCCGCGCTACTGCTAAGACGCAGCACCCACCACCTTTTCCACCTCCCCTCCCCATCTCCTCTCCTCCCTTTCCCCTACCTCCCACATCCTCCCTCTCTCACTCTTCTTCTTCCTCAATACTTCTCCCCCCATTACTCTCCCTCTTCTACCTACATTTCTCTCTCTTCATTACTCCTAGCTATAACTACACCACCTCCATTAATTCATCTCCTTTCTCTTTTTCCTCCCCCTCCACTAGTTGAAGTTGTCTCCTCCCAAATTAGCTAGCTAGGTAGATGTAGCATTTAGTTAAGTGACATATTTGCCCCCTAACTAGATCTTTCTTTGTCAAGAAAAGCTTTGTGCACTTTTGACCTCCCTACATCATCATCTCCACCGTGTGCTCGATCTCGAGATAGAGGTGTGATTAATATTTCATGCTTTTGCAAAATGAAAATATGTGTTCCTATTTTGTATACACACTTAATTAGCCATTATTATGCATGGGTCCAATGATGTAATATATATATGTTCCTATTTTGTATACACACTTAGCCATTATTACGCAAGGGTCCAATGATGTAATATATATGTTCCTATTATGCTGAGGAAAATAAAAAAAGGAAACTGGTTATAGCAGTAGCGCTTTAGTGAAAAAGAGCTACAGCTAGTCAAGGTAGCAGTAGCGGTTTCTGCAGAAAATCGCTATAGCTGCTCCACTTAACCCAAAATTCTCCCTCTCCCTGCTTCATCCCGCCTCTTTTCCCTCAAATCCCCACTCTCTCTTCCCCGGCCCCGTCGCACCGGTGCGCCCGCCCCCGACCTCGGTGCGCTCGCCCCTGACCCCGCCGCCCCCGACCCCGCCGCGCCCGACCCCGCCGCGCTCGCCCCCGACCCCGCCGCCCC